TCCATATCACAGAGAATATCCGAAGTAGCAACATTCATCCCCTGCAAGAAGTTCCCTCACGCTTTTTATCTTCTCGCTGCTCGACTGAACCTCCTTCGTACGGTTCGTGGTATGAATAGCAGATCTGGCCTATCGCTTTAATTTCAGCACAAATCGTCAGTAACCGTAGATTGTGTTTAGTTTGTAGATTGTCGTGTTCTTGCAATATGATACAATGTTTTGGGGTGCGTTATTGACGTTATTGTGACATTCACTTAATGCCACAGAGTCAATACAAATTTTCTAATCGCTCTATCTCCTTAAGAGTAATTAGTTGGACAGCATAGTAACAATAGCCTAGATGATAAATCTATTTTTGAACGACAACAAATGCTCTGCACACGAAGCAATGTCTAAAGCAAAGAAGCAATCACTATATGTAGTCTTCAGTTTGCGTCCCACACAGCTTCAGTCACTTATGTATTCCGACAGAAAAATGGAGCGGCCAGGCAAAATTCGATCTGCGATGTCCTGACTGCAACGCCGGCGCCCTATCGACTGATCTACTTAACACAATACAACGGCATAGGTGACACAACATTCCGTCTCTGGCACATAAGTTATGTGCGTCATGCGTGAGTCATTTATCCAATTAGCATATTTTATCATAACTAAATCAGGTGATGAACTGTGAACTGACTTACCCAACAACGGGGTCAGAAATCACATGAGCAGACACTGAATGATTAAAGACAGGAGTTTACGGTAGAAACATGCAAGAGGTTCGCCGACGATATGCAGCGTCAGTCCATGCCATCAGACTTGCTTAGAGTTCATGTGATGTGAATTTTTGAACGCTGAGTATATAACTGTGGCGGTTGTTTAATGTTAAATGTAAATATTTATATTTTATTTTTCATGACTTACATACTTAGCAGGATTACTCATGAAAAGGAATCGTAAATTTTAGGATTCAGCACAAAAATCCAATATTATTGTTTAATTTATTTATTTCATTTCGAAAATCGAAGGTTGTTTACAGAAGACATTCGACTAATGCCATTTCCATTTCCTTTGTATCGGTTGTTTTTCATACAACGACGTCTACGTCAATGCGAAAATGTGATTTTGCCGAAATATTGCGAAGTCTGCTGATGCATCATAACGAACGGTTTTTGCAAGCGACTGACTTCGTAGCCGGCCAGAAATACGTGGTATTAAACTCAGCTCGCCTAGCGGTGATGCATGAAACAAAACAGATACTAGTAGCTTTGGTCTGGACGAGGGTTTGTCTGCTGGGTGGGGGGGGGGGGGCGTAACTGACCTACTGCTACAAC